TCATAGGCAGTTTTTCATGTATTTGTGAGTGAATGTACAAAGTAAAGATGTTATTCTTTGCGATTTTCATCAATAGTGACATAACTACATTATTGTTCTAGGCGCTTGAAATAAGAAATGTAGCATTACCCATTAAATTAGCATTAGTGCGTTAACAATGTGTGCATTTGGGGCGGTCCATTCTAGCTTTCTAACGCTGTTTGGATTCCAGTGGCAGTGACGTTGTGAGGGAATGGCTTTTTTCTCCATGTATTTTGTGTTGCCATTCCTTCTCTCATGCATTTCTCCCTAATCCCTCGTGTCTCTTCTCGTTCCAGATCACACTTATTCCTTCTATGTGTGTACGTACAGGTACAGATCACATTTATAGATCACGTTGTGAGGGAATGTACAAAATATGTTAGGGGCACTCCTAACATTCGAGCTCTAAAGGTCCGGTAAGACCAATATAGTATTGGCTTTTATCTTGCGGAAAACTATTTGAACCAACCTAACAGCAGGACAATGAAACACAATACCAATCCAGCTAAATGAACTCTAAAACAAGTTGGCACACATATTTTACAATTGAATGAGATACATGATGATGAGGGGTTAGTGTAATGGGTGATACACGGGAATGAGAATGGATGAAACATGTATTCCTAGCTCAACAAAATCTAAAATTAATGATCACAGACATGCTAAAACGGTACAATTTTTGACTTAAAATATTTTATTGCGGGTTACATTAAAACTGACATCCAATTAACACAATAACAATACAACATAAACCATCTCGAACCAATAACAACGACAGTCACAGTTACGATTCTCGACCACAAAACCCAGCTACACTTCGACCCAGTGAAGCACCAGATTGATTCCTTGAGGCGTTGGTACTGCGTTCTGATGGTAACGCCTCAACATGGTACATTCCATGTTGTATTGGCGATCTGATGGTAATTGGCGTTCTGATGTAATTGGCGTTCATGGATGTATTGGCGTTCTGATGGTAATTGGATTCTTGTGACTGGCGTTGCACACGTTCTAGCAATGATTGGATTCATTTGACTGTGACGTTGGACGCGTTCAAGCATTGATTGGATTCTTGTGACTGTTACGTTGGATGCATTCAAGCGTTAATTAATTCATGTTACTGTGATGATGCAAGCACTGTTTTTTTTTTTCAAAGAAACAGCTGTGGCATCTTGCAGAGACTCATCAGTGATGATGATGGACTGAAAGTGGAAGTGTGCTGGACGTTCCAGATTTTTGGGTCCTGTTTTCCAATTTGCTATGTTTACCAGTTAATATATTACCCCTCTGGATTTCCACACTGCTAACAAATCCATATATTCTGACACTGTGTGACTAAATTCAGCATTTTGTGAGACTAATCAAAGCCTTTAAAGGGCCACGCTTCAAACTCAACTAATTCGTAATGCCGACACTCTTGTGTGAGCTGTATTGGATTACGACACAGCTTGGAATTAGAACACTATTGAATATTGAACGCTACTTAATTAGGCTTTAATTTAGAGCTATTAAGCTTTTAATTAAGAAAATTGTAATTTTTGCACACAGCTTGGAATGAGCTGTGTGTGTCTAATTCCAAGCTGTGTCGGAATTAGTTTTTATGTGTCTTAAACCGTCTCTTAACTTAATCATCTATTAATTTTTTTACCACTTGAAATCAGCAAATACAAGTATGCTTAAAGGATTCCTAATATGTTCACAGACGTATTTAAAAGTCTCAAACCATAATATTATTTCTACACAAACAGTTTATAACTATTTGGTAGAGCAAGGTCAACTATCAACTTTGACACATTTTTTGATGTTCTCACTGGGTGACGCACACTGTCTCTCTTTGGATCTCAACATTTTCCTGCCAGATGGCCCAGACCTAGTGTTTTGGCGATAGTATGGCGCTAAAGTATGACATCACTATTTCAACCATCAACGAATGCATGGAACTAAGAAAAAGCTTAATATAAAGGAAAAAAGTCGAAGTGTCAGAATTACCCACAATGTCGGAATATACCACGTTTACCCTACCCATGATTATTAGGAAATTTCTGCTGGATATTCATGATTGGGATAATCATAATGGGATGGTATTAGTGTCATCATAGTACTTCATCATGGATGCAAGATAATTTTATTTAATAGTTTTTTAATAAAAGTAATATAATATTTTAATTTTAAGACAACATAGCTACATGCAAATAGAAGATAAGGATACAAAAGAATGTTGAGCGAGCTATAAAAAAAGCCAAAACTATTCCTGCTAGTGATAGAAGTGACTGCAAATTTTTCAGATTTAGTCATACATTAATCAGTTCTGAAATGTTTGAGTTGTGTGTGGTGTGGGTACTTGCCTAAATGAGCCAGGTTTACAGGGCATCTTTGGCAATTAAGAATCCTCAAGAATATTGATTTTGTCTACAAGTTGAAAAGAAGTTGGATGACATGCAATATGCATTACTTCTAACTTTCAGCTTCTGAAAATGCCTGTAGGTCTGAAAAAACAGTTTAATTTAGTTTCATGAATCGTCAGAAATTTTCATTTATTCACACATTAATAGTATATATTTAAACTTTGCAAGATCTTGGTGTATCCATAAAATGCATAAATATATCATTGCTTTCCCTAGAACAATGTTACTGTAGCCATTGGTGTACCTTTTGCTCTGGTCCTGCAGAAATTGTCACCAAAGATTATAGAATATTTCTAAATGCATCAGTGAAATTGTTAGAAGATGTAAATTTTGCTGCTGATGCATCTCTGAAGATTTTTAGATATTCACTCACTCCCTGCACCCTGGCAATAATATATCTGAATATTAATTGAATAGAACATAATATTGAATAAGAACATAATAATATGTGTTGTGAATATTAGTTGGCTAAATTGCAGTTCCCCATTAAGCAAATTTGTACACAGAAATCAATAGTCTCATCACCTAATCTATTGTCCAATTAGATGCTTTAATTACAAATGTTCAATTATCATTACTTCACATTCTTCTCTTGCTTTCTGCAAGGAGATTATACAAACATTCATTAAGGTTGTTTTCATAATTTTCTCAAACCTGTAAGTTTCTTCCTTAATTTTTTATTCTTAGTACTGGTTTGCTTTGTGTTATTTACATAATTACATTACAATTAGTATTTGTGGTGTGGATACTTTCTAAAACATCAATGAAAATATTTGCAGGCTTCTGCACTGAAAGATGCTGGCAATGCTGCACTCAATGCTGACAAACCAAAGGAGGCAATTGAGAAGTATTCTGAAGCCATTAAGCTGGACCCAGAAAACCATGTACTTTTTAGCAACAGGTAAGTTAGACTGTTTTTTTTTAATTGTTTAAAATAAATTTGATATCTAGGCAGCAAGTGTGTACTGTGAATGTTTTTTCTCACCCATTTCAGTTTTTAGTCTATTTTAAACATATACTGGAACATGAAAAAAAGATCACTTATCTGTTTCCTGAAATAAAATTTTTGCAGTGAATTTCCATTTGCATCAAATTTTGTAATGTGTCCATGTTGTAACTTTTAAAAATCTTATTTCAGATCTGCTGCTTATGCAAAATTAGAAAACTACACTGCTGCTCTTGCTGATGCTGAGGCTACAGTGAGACTAAAGCCTGACTGGCCAAAAGTAAGTTATTTTCTGTTAATCAGAGTGCATTTTCTATAAATTCACTAACTAATGGGCAAACTTTTCAAAACTAGCTCTTGTCCTTCAGAATATCTGAGAAGGTGAGGATGAACTCTAGCTTTGCTCCAGCAATTGAAGTTAATCAAGTTTAACTTCCTCTGAACTGTCTGACTTATTAGTATTCCTTTAAGTCACTATCTGATTGTTTCTGATCACTAATATTTAGATGCATGGGTAATTCTTGTGCACTCTATCTCTGAAGTGAGAAATTTTAGAAATTAGTTTCTCACTTCCAAATCATTTGAATTCTATCACTGTAATGATTGTCCTAATTATAGTTTCTGATGGAAGTAAATTTAGTTCTTGATGATAATCTAATATCCCACTTTTAAGAAATAATTTTCACAGAAAAAATGTTGATTGCTCATTTATTTTGTCCAGTAACGGTTGTTAAACAGAAGCACAATATTGATTTTTCTTTCACAATTAACTGCCAATACTAATCATTATTAATTATCATTGCTAGTGTCAGTTGAGTTATGTTTCAAGAATGGTTCAGTTTTTTTTTTGTGAGCATTTAATTATCTTCGTGTGCAGGGGTATTCCCGCAAAGGGGCTGCACTGGTGTACCTCAACCGACTGGATGAGGCTGAGGAGGCCTATGAGGCTGGACTCAAACTTGAGCCCAACAACCAGCAACTTAAGAGTGGCCTCAGTGAGTGCAAGGCCAAGGTTAGTGAGCAATATATAAGTTCACAAAACCTTTGATGAGCTACATTCTCTTGTCTGCTTTTAGATATGGCAAAGCTTAATTGATGAAGTTATACAGATGCACTTGCCTCACAGATCCACTATTCTTCATTCTACCTGCGTGATGAGCTTATTAGTAAGTTTATCATAATTGTGTTTTGTTGTCCCGTCAGGCATCACGAAGCTTCAGCGGTGGCTTTGGGGGCATGCCAGGCGGCCTCAATCTGGGCTTTGACAATCCCAACCTGATTGCTAAGCTCGCCACAAACCCTCGCACCCGTGAATTCCTCAGTGACCCGTCTTACATTCAGATGATAAATGACCTCAAGAACGATAGTTCCAAGATTGGGTTAGTATTTATCTAGAATGCTGATTATTATTTTACAGGTGGTCTCTTGTCAACTCAAAACTGGTTGGTTGTGTTATTCGTGATAAGTGCCATGGTGAAAACTAATTTGTCAACCGTGTGTTATGGCACTAATTTCAAACTTGTCTTTTATTAGCTTGCTGTTGACAAAAATGATTTGCAGGAAATTGAGAGGAAATTCAAATTTATAATATTTGATGATGAGTATGTAAAAATAGAAAAAATAAAGACTAAGCTTATGTTATTACTGCAGACAATATTCGTCTGATAAGCGGCTCATGGCAACACTTGGTGTGATGCTGGGTGTAGATATTCCTGGTGGTGGTGATGACGATGATGGTGAAATGTTTCCTTCTGAACCTTCACCTCCACGCTCTGCCCCCAAGAAGCCCGAAGAACCACCTAAGCCAGAGAAAATGGAAGTGGATGCAACTCCAGAGCAGCTTGAGGTAATACAAACGTATGACCTTTGATTCCAAATTTAGTGCTACTAATGGCTTCTAAATAATACTTATCTGGTTACATTTTTTTCATTTATAAAACTTGATTTGGATTTTATTTCTTTAAAAGTCAACTTTTAATCCGGCCAATTGGATAAGTTTTATATTGAAACCATGTGTGGTGGTCATGCTTGAATTGTATTTAATTGTATTTGTAGCACAGAATTTATCAAAACAAAAAGTAACCACGAGGCTTTTTATCTCCTAAGGCCCGGGCCGAGAAGGAAAAGGGCAATGCTGCTTACAAGAAAAAAAATTTCGAGACCGCCATCACGCACTACGAAAAGGCTATTGAAATTGATCCCACCGATATGACTTTCCTCACTAACCTGGCAGGTAAGTTACAGAGGCGCTTCAACATTCCTCAAGATGTTGATTCTCACTGGAATGATAAAAAAATTTTCATAGATGGTCCCACGTAACACTTGGTCCTTAATATAACTATCTTATTTTTGTATCCATATCAAGAACCAAGTTGAGCTCAAAGGAATGATTTATGCTTTGGCTTGGTGTTGGATTCTGTGATGAAGCGAAAATGGATAATTGTGATCAATCTTTTAGATTTATAAAGCGTTTTCTAATTATTGGCCTGTTTCTAAATGGAGTAATTTCATTATTACTTTAGTTTTTTTTCTTAATTATTGTTGCCCCTATATTACAGCGGTAAAATATGAGCAAAAATTGTATGAAGAATGCATCAGCGTTTGCGAGAAAGCTGTCGAAGTTGGAAGAGAAAACCGTGCAGATTTTAAACTGATTGCCAAAGCTCTCACTCGCATTGGCAACGCGTACAAGCAGCTCAAGGTGCGTCCAAATTCAACATAATTACTAAAACTCGGCCATATTCGATTTTCTATTCAAAGATTCAAATAAGGTATTGAGTAATAACATCGTACTAGGTGGCTAATTTTCCACTATTCGCCAAGGTCTTCAGTAATGTCTTGTCAGGTCTCTGCCCCTCAGGGGGGACTTCTGACGCGTGTCTGTGCTCGTCAGAAGTCCTATGGGATTTCGCGCTCTTAGGGGGATTGTTCCTGAGCGCCCCACCGCTGAGCTCGCGGTGTCTGACTGCAGATCTCAGTTGTGGGGTTAAGTTATTATGTAGGTAGGATTCCTTTCATTTCCCTTCTCTGTCTCTCTCGTGCGGGTGGCCGACGTCCCGTGTGAGCGACCTCTTGTTCGAGTGTCTTAGTTTCTGTTACTTTTCACCTGTCCCTCCTTGTCACCTGTCCCTCCTTGTCACCGGTCCCTCCTTGTCACTTCGTCTCTTTAAGATGCTAACGATGCTTCTCTTGAGCCAGCTTCAGCGGGCTGGACAACTGAGACCTTCCGCTCCTTGTGGGTGATGAATGATTTGAGATTTTGAATAATTGAGACCTTCCGCCTTATGGCGATGTTACATTTTGACCTCCGGCGCGAAATAGCTTGATAGCTGAAGCGCTAGCAAACCATTCTACTACTACTTGTCAGGTCTCGCAAACTAGAACATTTTTGTTTGCTAATAGAGTAATATCTTAGTTTGACTTCTGACGTCCACTGTGGATACGGAATGGAGGGAAGAAATTTCATTCGATGAAAATTTTTAATGTGATTAAAACATGCGTTTTTCCACGTATGTCGAAATATTCATAATCTCTTTCTTTTGCCAGAATCTGGAGAAGGCCAAGTTATACTATGAAAAATCAATGTCCGAGCACCGAACTCCTGAAGTCAAAGACATGCTTAGCAAGGTGAGCGTTGAGAGCACATATCCATTAATGCAGAGTGTCGGCAATTAGCAGCATTCTGTTCACTTTCCTTTGATATTGAGTTAAAATGGACGATTCCTTATGCTTAGATCTAATCCTCCATGTCCTATTATACGTTAGTTATCAATTTAAAAATCTTTCCCTTGGACCAAAATCTTATTAATTTGACTTGTATTTGATAAGGTCACTGCCGCAATCAAGGAACAAGAACGCCTCTCGTACATCGACGTAGAAAAAGCTGAAGAAGAGCGTCAGAAAGGCAACGAATTTTTCAAGAAGGGCGACTTCCCCACCGCCATCAAGCACTACACTGAAGCTGTGCGACGCAACCCCAATGATGCCAAAATCTTCAGCAACAGAGCGGCTTGCTACAGCAAACTGGCCGAGTTCAGCTTGGGCATGAAAGATTGTGACGAGTGCATCAAGTTGGATCCTACTTTCATCAAAGGTTACATCAGAAAGGCAAAGATACAGCAAGGACTGAAGCAGTTCTCACAGGCTCAGGAGAGCTATCATAGAGCACTTGAAGTTGACCCTAACAACCATGAAGCCCTGGAGGGGCTCAGAGAGTGCGCTATGGCCGCCAATAGTGATCCCGAGGAGGTGAAAAATGTTTTTAAGTCTGATATTTATAAGAACATGTACTGAGAATCTCTCTGCTAGGAATATCTTTGCAACTGCAACTGTTATTACAGTTTATGTGAAATTAGTATTAGTTTTGTGATTTTTTCACTAAATTTTACATTTTTCGCATTATTTGTGGCTTGTCATAAAACTTGGATTACAATCATAATCCTACAAGTATTTCATTTTATTATTGCAATCAAGTATAGCCGTTTGATAGTAAACAACGAAACTCGCAACTCCATGCGAATTCTAGAATTTGAATGTAATTTACGTTTTAAAGTGCCTCCATCAGCCGTCTCCTGGATCTCGTCTCTCAGTATAAAAATCGTGCACGGAATTCAGGTCGTGTGCTGGTTGCCAGAATATGGGTACTTAGAGGACATATTTTCTCGCTTACAGATCAGAAAACGTGCCATGGCTGACCCTGAAGTGCAGCAAATTCTCCGGGATCCTGCCATGCGTCTAATCCTCGACCAGATGCAGAACGACCCCAAAGCTCTGCAGGAGTGAGTACCTAACAGCGCTGTCTATTAGACTTGGTATTATTAATTCAAATATCAATAGTAATAGTAGTATGTGTTATGTACTTCTAAACTTCATTATTTTTTCATCATATTCGCCGTTCATCGATAAATTAGAAAGTTCTGGAAGAAGCACTAAACTTTGTTAACTGTTTATTTACGCCCATTGATGCTGATTTTTGCACTGTTCTCCTCCTAATTTCGTTATTTGCTTGTGCAGTCATCTCCAAAATCCCGACGTGTCCGCGAAGATACAGAAGCTGATGCAAGTTGGTCTCATCGCCATCCGGTAATGGCGAGACTGTGGTGGTCGACTGTTCCATGCGTAGATGAGTTCACTTGAAGATTGGTTCGCGAAATGATCTAGCAGTTAATGATCTCTCACAATCTGCTCTGAATTGGGGAAAATCTTCCATTTCATCCCTGATAAGTTCTTAACCAGATCTATACAATATGAACTGCATACTGTTCCGCTTAACCCTCTCTGTACAAGAGGAACGTTATAGTTGATTGAATTGATTCCAAGCAAGCCTTGTGTCGACGTTTTGTTACTTCATCTTTTTTGTCAATCTGTGCGTTCTTCTGTTGCATGCAAGTCAATAGTACTTGAGTAACTCCTGGCGTGAGGGAGCAGTTGCGTTCAAATGTAAGATTTATTCCCTGTGTTGTTTTAAATGTAATAACGAGTGCTACTCTAAAAGTCTATTCAGCGTTATTATCCTTTAGATCATCACTCTCCTCAGGAAGTCTCGTATGCCATGACGTTTCTATCATACCATAGGTTCGCTAATGAGATCAGGTTCCTGCTAATACCTGCCTAGTCTTGAGTTGCCTTAGGAACGACGTTGGAAAAAATATTGATTAGTTCATCCCTATAGTATAACGCGTATGTTACATCTTGTACTTGAGCGGTTTTGTACACGAACTTCATGCTAGTTAACATCGATCATCTGCGGAAATGTTACTAATTCCTCCGTAGAGGAATTTTCCCTTGGAGGGAGGTCTTTCACATCGGCTCTAGGATTATGAAGCGCAACTGAAAATCTATTCCAAAATTTTGGTTTTAAGGCTTGCAAGGTTGTGGTCGAGTATAGAAATAAGAATTCAACCTGCTACGGACATTGCGCTCAGGCTATGAAGAGTTGATCTGTAAAGACATGAATAACAATAGAATTCATTCGCTGAACACATGGCATGGATTAGAGAGTCAATTCATCATTTGACTTGTCTTGTGTATTTCGATTTTTTTTTTCTGCATACATACTCTGCTTTTTTGATGAGAAAAATGTGAACGAAATGAGTACAATTTTGTACCCTTCCGCATTGCAGCACAGACCTCAATATTATTTGCCAGTTCAGGCTGGAGAAACAAAAATGAAGCGTGGAGCTGCATTTATTTACACAGCTAACACATTCTACTTTACGTCATATAAAACTAGTTTCTTATGCGCGCTAATGGACGGATTAGTCACGTTGATCACTATTGAATTTATCTTAAAATACCTTACTATTGAGGACGGATAACTAGTAAAACAAAAATTACATGGCTTCAACTACACTATACGCTCAAGATGAAATACTTACTTTATAAAATTCCTCGAGCTTCTCTCTATTGAGGCCATAATTGGTGCAATTGTTGGAACACTGCCGCATTTTACGCCCAAAGTTTCAGAATTCTGTATTGTCACGCGTCCTCGGTTGCTTATAAAAATGTTAGTTGTAGCAACAAAAAAAAAACTTTACAATATAACATAGGTCTTATGATAGATGCATGCCACAGTACAATATTAATCTAAACCAAAAATACCCAGAATATAGCTAAAAGCTACCCGTTGAATGCAGGTAATGGCGGAGCTACGCAAATGGTTAGGCGCAACTAGCTTCATGCAAGACCGGGGCGGATGCAGAACTTGTGAAAATATCTTGCCTGTTTCAACGAATCTTGAAAAAAGAAGCTTCGGCACTTCAACGGATAACCGCACAATTGAATAATTTAATGCCTTTAACGCAATATGATCTTTACTAGCCATATTTATTGCAGGAACAATCACGATATCAAATTGCTCTTATTGGAACTTAAAGACCAATGCTCCTTAACACTAGCTTTAAAATTAGCTAACAAATATTTTAGAAGAAAGATCAAGAATTAGTTACTTATTGAGATGCATGACATGTGCTTAGCAATCCTCAGATAATTGAATATAAGTTGAGAATACAAATTAATGAGATTCTAGAATTGATCAGTAATTTCTGACACAAGCATGAGCATCATTCAGATATTAAATACTGGAAACAAAAAAAAACGCATGCGAGTTTTGTCTGACTCATCATGTTGGAAGAACAACAACACGTTTGAACAAAGAAACAGAAGAACGATACTAACGTCACGCACTCGTGAAGTACATTTGCATTTTGATGATTTTAGGTTGAACAAAATTATGAAAAAGTAAACCCTTTGCTCATGAATATTCAATTAATGTCAATTTTTTATGCAAATAGAAATTTAGTTCAAAAAAGCACTTTAAAAATAAATTTGTGACATAGAACAAACCGCCACCAGCATAGGGTTACACAGCGCATTCATAGCTGGCGGACTTCTTCTCCTGCAGACCAATCATCTCAGACTCGCCCATGATCAAGTCTTTGTATGATGACTTCTCCTCCATAACTTCCCCGAGGTAAGTCGTATTTTCGGACGAGTGGTCTTCTATTTCATAGTTCTGGGCAAACGGAACCGTTCTTGCCTTGCAGAGTTTATCACCCCACTTGAGGATGATAAACATGATCACTGCGATGCTCATCACTAAGAACGTGAGGGGAGGCCAGAACACGTGTGCGCTCGTCATTGTCTTCAAATGAGATGTCAAGACACAAAAAAAAACGATTGTACACAGTGATGTAGTGTATGTACAGATAAAGAAATCTATTTCTTGTCTCAGTTTCAATCTCGTTAGGGATGAAGAAAAATATACTTCGCTGTTCTAGGTCACTGTTGCAAAATCAGACGAGAATACCACTAGAATATCATTGAGTTTTAGGTCCTAATAAATGCAGTCTTTGTTCAGGTGATGAGGACGTCAAGAGGCTTCTGCCTTGGTGACCGCACGAAGAGGAAAGATGCGAAGCGGTTGCCGGTGTCGGGATCAGACCAGTAGGGGGTGTATTTGTGACAGCAGCAGCAAATCAAATTTACCTGATGAATTAAAAAATATCAATAGTCATGGTTAGTCATCAGCTTCATAACTCTAACTCAATAACTGAGATAACTGCCAGGGAAAATCAGCTTTAATATTGTCTCCACTTCATAATACAATCAAAATTAAATGATATGATGTGCTTTTAATCTTTATAGATGTCATTGTGATGCACAAAATTTTATTTTAGATACACATGCATGTTTATTCTCATGAAAAATGTGTGAATAAACAAAGAATAATTTAAATCACGAAAAAAAAACTGTTATACATTAACTACAAGTTTTCAGATCAACCATTAGTATTGAAATGAAAAGTATATATGTTCAATAGAATTCACAGATATTACAATGAAGTTGGAGGATAGTGAGCACTTACCAGGATGAGAATGACTGCAATGATGACAGAAATAGTGATTGTAACATAAAAAATGGTGTAGTCATAATACAAAGGTTTTACACCATATTGTGCATTATACTTCAGATATGAATTATCCTCAACATAGCTACTCATTCTGATACCAGTATTTCACATCTGTAAAGTCTGCAAAGATTTTTGGAACATTTATATGAGACTTATTAAATTGTTCTACAGGCAAATGGCTATAAAGTGCTTTTAAATTTATATATTCATTTAGATAAATAGTTAAAATGCCATAAAACTATATTGAAATAATTTAATATCTGCCTTGATAAACCAATACGATTCTACTATTCTCCAATGTGGAGCATGATGCAATCAACTTAAAATGAGACTTAATGGCAAATAAAAGCCCAGTATTGCCCTCTTCTTCATTATTGGATCCTTGAAAATTGTTTCAAGTAAAACCATTTTTAGTTCTCCATAGAAGAAGCATTGTTTTACACTTGTTATGTTGGCTAATATATCAGCAACAAAATATCTTCATTGGATGCAAGTAAAATCAAACTCAACATGAACTATATGTTACCGCCAAAAATATGATGGCCTTTCCAAATGAAAATCAATCAAATTGTTTTTCACGATCTATCAACTAGTATGTTACAACTTGCAATCCTATTCCTAACACTCAAAATTTATCAATCTAATTTAGCATCTTTCAGACTTCACTCATTATTAATATAAATTTTTTCAGAGAACTTCAATATTTACAATCTAATTGCAGCTGGCAGGTGCTACCTTTTCTTTGTAAATTACTTCTCTCAAAAAGAAATTGAAACCAAAGTAACAAGAAAATGACAAAGGATTAAAAAAAATTTATCAATTCAAAATTTAAAGAGGACATGGAATTCTAGGGAAACGAGATTTCTTTAATTTTGCTGAAGGCATTCACCGGCTTATGCTCAGGCCTTGGAAGGAGGTTGGATTTGGATTACTCATTTGGATCCTGGGTGCAGACTTTGGAAGATGAATCAACAATAAACAGATTTTAAGCCCCAAATGTTGCCAGCAGTATTCAGAATTAGTTGCTCAGTTGCCAGCAGTATTCAAGATTCATCACCAGGCGTGGAATCAGCAGCAATGAGGGCATTTCATTTGTCTATCACCTGAAATAAACTTTGTGTAATGATAACTATATTAACTTTGGGGCTATTTTGATACAACAGTCCAAATAAAATAGCACCTGCAATGACATGAATATATTTTGCTATAGCTACCATTGTAAATTTCCATAGGCATTATGGTATCACCTATTTACACATCTGAGTAAATTCACATCTGAGTAAATTATCACCTATTTACACATCTGCAAATTCATTTTCTAGTGGTTGAGATGATAGATCCTCAATGATGTTGAAAGCATCATTCTGATCATCATTTAAATAATCATATCCTGATCTTCATTTACATCATCATAAATCATTATATTCCAAGTTCCTTATAATTCTTATAACATTGACAACTTTACTGCATGGTAGTGGTGAGAATTCCCAATGATTCTATACCATCAAATGGGTCCATTGAGCATTTACAACAACCTTTTCAACTGCAAGCTTCATATCAGCAGCCATATAGCATTTCTTTTTTATCTATAAGCTTACAGGATGGCTTGCAATTTCACACCATTTTAATTGGGTTAAGTGAATTTACTATGGAAAAAGATTGTAAAAAAAAACATAGGTACCTGAAACAGAAAGGAATGTTTTAGTAACAACCATCATATTTTTAGGAGAAATAAATCATATTTTAGGTTAATTACTTTTCATTCTATGATGCCCAGTGCACAATTCTATCTATGACATTCTGTGCACAATTTTGTGATGACCGATGATGCATTAATATTTTGATAAGTGAAATTTTTTTCACTGAGCGAGGTAAATGTAATCAATATTCTTTGTTGTTAATCAATTTTTTTTTTAACTGGAGCCTTTGCTAACTGAGGTTAAACTGTAAATGCATTTTTAGGGGTATCTCTTATTACCCCAGGGGATGTCCCTTATTACCCCATCGTGCAGAGATGGCTGCCATTTTTTTTTTAATGATAGGCAAATAATTGTGTTTTCAAGCTGACACCCGTGTGCAACTTTTATGTAAGTAAAATTTTTACTTTTGTAATATTTTGATTAGTTTTACTGATACAACACTTATTACCCCGTTTGACGTGACGGTAGGTGGAAAAGTGACCGAGAATGTGTTGCTAAATGTCAAAAGTGATGTGAAAAATGAAATAAGGTTGCTGAAGAATTTTATACTTTATTTAGCAATTGTACTGTAGCAGCATAGCCATTGGTGTACGCATAGGCATACTGCAATTCTAAGATTGGCCCCGGCTGCACATGCCTGATGCCTGTACTAATCAGTCTTGGTGAAGAGCACCCAGTTTTGGTCTACAAGACAGGAGACAGGACTTCTGAATTTCTGACCAACCAAAGTTAGGAATTTAAATAATTTATTGATCCAAGATGAATAGTCAGCTAAAATTCAGACCAAAACCAGGTCTGGGTGCCATTCACCTGTCATGAAGACCAAAAAGTACTGCCAATCCTAGAATTGCACCATCATGAGTCATGACTAGGCTAGGCTAGCTATGCGTTGGAGTTTGGACTAATCTTTGGAAGTTATGAATTTAGCTGCTGAAGTGCTGATGCATCTTCAAAGATCTTTATTTATTTTCTGCACCTGGCTTGGCCCGCTTGGGTGATTATTGGCCAGTTTTGCAATTGCTTTATTCAATTTATAGGTGGCATCTGTCTGATTAACTGATTTTCCAGCAAAAATCATAAATGGAACCACAACTGCACAAGCACAGTCAAAAGTCAAGTACAATACACATTAACCCTTTCACGGCCCAATCACGGGTAAGTTACCATATAGGGTAAACGCGGTATATTCCGACACATTAAGGACGCATCGAGAAATGAAAAACTATACAAAAAAAAACGTATGCGTTACGTAAGTTCTGTTGCCTTCACATGACTCTCAAAACACTTCACTACGCGTCAGCAACGATGAAACGTCACAAAATGTTGCCATATTTATTAAAAAGCCTTTAGAATGGAAACCTACCAAATCCCTATATTC